CTGAGCAGGGAGCCCGATGCGGGGCTCGATCCCAGGACCCTGGGATCATGACCTGAGCCGAAGGCAGACCTTAACGACTGAGCCCCCCAGGCGCCCCGAGATTGTGTGTTTCTGACAAGCTCCCTTGTGATGCTGATGCACTGTTTCTTGAGTATCAGGGACAGAAATTGGAAGTAAAAAGGCTGAGTAATAGAATACATTTTTAACCTCAGGGTCTTATTTTGAAACTGTTTTTGTGTTATTTATATTTCAGGCATATTAATCTGAGAAGTGTACCCTTGATTATAAATTGTGTGGCTCTGGTACTCACTTTTTTTTGAAGTTTTCATTTATTTATTTGAGAGAGAGAACAAGCAGGGAGGGAGAAACAGACTCCCCGCCGAGCAGGGAGCCCGACATGGGACTCGATCCCAGGCCCCCGGGATCATGGCCTGAGCCGAAGGCAGACTAGGAACAGAATGTTACATTGTAGGTTTCTGAGGGCTGAGGGTTCTTCAGCTCTTCGCTAAGTGTGTGTGCTGAGTGTATGCTAGCTGTCTAAGGTTCTGTGCCCTTCACATCTCATTTACTCCTCACCGTGGCCCTACAAGGCTCTCCATCACCCTGTTTTTAGCCGAAGAAGGCGACCCATGTCCTTGGTGAGGGTCTCAGAGCTCGGGTTGTGAGTCCAAATCTGACTGCAAAGCCGCCTTTATAGTGAGTGCCTCCCGTTTCCGTGTGAGCTTGTCCTAACTTCATAGCTGCCCCTCACGAGAACCAGCTGTGGGGTCACTGTTCACCTGCTGCAGAGGAACCACTGGGAATAAAATTGCTCCTTCCTGGGTCTTTCCCCCAAGAGAAAGTCAGGTTGGGGCCCGGAGGCTGTGTCTTTCACTCCTGTCCAAGGTGGTTCAGGGGCGGCGTGCAGGATGGCTGGTTGCCCCCCACCTCGGCCTCTTGGCTGTGCTGGGGTTCGTTTGGGGCCGTGATACACCTGTTGAAAAGGGTAGGCCTGATGATGGCTTCCATCTTTAGGAACAGCGCTTAAAGTTTTTGAAACAGCAAGATCAGCGTCAGCAGCAACAAGCTGCTGAGCAGGAGAAGCTCAAGAGGCTGAAGGAGATGGCTGAGAACCAAGAGGCTAAGCTAAAGAAGGTGCGCGCCCTGAAGGGCCACGTGGAGCAGAAGAGGCTGAGCAACGGCCGACTTGGTGAGTCGCTCCCGGAGGGCCCTGCCAGCGCTCGAGGCTCCGTGGGGGGACGCGGGTGTGTGTGTGTGTGGGGGGGCTGGGCAGACGCGGAGACGCGGGTGCCGGGCACTTAGAGCACTGCGTGCTGAGTGACTGTAAGCCGAGGCTGTGCGTGTAGTCAACTTTAGAATCAAGCTTTTTCAAAGCCTGATTCCCTGCAGTTTTGATGCTCTTGGTGCCTGTGAATTGGATTTAGCTGCTGGATGTTTCATTATATTTTAATTTAATTTTTATTTTTTTGGTGGGCAGCAAAGCAAAGTTTATTGAGCGATAGTACAAAGCTCCCGAACAGGGAGGGGACCCGAGAGGGTTGCCCTTTGCTGCTGGGTGTTTAAGACAAGGTTTTCACGTTATCTTTGGAAAAATGTACTAGTAGGGTTTTTATTTTTTTTCTCTTTCTAAATACTTTTGACTGAAAATTTGATGAAGGCAAGGATTTTTATTCATATAATAGGTTCCTCTATTGTAATGCCATTTTAATTAAATTTTTTGTGATTTAATAGCTGCCTCTACCACTGTAAAACTGAAGTTAAAAGTGCTAAGTAAATTTCATTGTTTCTAAAATCTGGAGCTTAATAATATTTATAACACAAATTCTGCTAGAGATTTATTCAGAGGGAGGCACGGACATTTAGAAATGTCTCTGTGGATTTCAGTTGCTTGTAAAAGAAATAGGTTGGTTCTAGGACATTTCTGAAAAACGTCTGTACTTTTTGTTAGGAAGTTTGTTGTAAAGTCCGGTTGCCTGGGAGTGCTCCTTTCTCATTTTTCTTTTCAACTCTTGTTGCTTTTCTCGTTCTCATTCTAGTGGAGGAGATTGAGCAAATGAATAGTTTGTTCCAGCAAAAGCAGAGGGAGCTCGTTCTGGCCGTGTCCAAAGTGGAGGGGCTGACCAGACAGCTGGAGATGCTCAAGAACGGCAGGATGGACGGCCGGCACGACAGTCGTTCCGCCGCGGCCGAGCTCGACCGGCTCTACAAGGAGCTGCAGGTGCGGCCCGCTCCAGGGGCACAGTCGCCACGGAAGTGGCTCCCAGCGCGGGATTTCGATTTCTTTTCCTTAAAGTGGGGGGGGGGGGGACCTAAACCCCAGAGAGTCCAGAATAAACTTAAGAGCACCTGATACGGGAAAATTGGCGGCATTCCTTATGACCGCAGCTGGTGGGCTGATAGTTTTAAACCATAAGATGGAAGTGTGGACAGGTGGAAGGACCGTACGTCTTTAGGAATTATGTAATAGTCAAGCATGTGATTATCTGAGAAGTTTTACTTCCTGCCCCTCGGCTCCCCCCCATTTTATTCAGTTACGGAACACGTTGAATCAGGAGCAGAATGCCAAGTTGCAGCAGCAGCGCGAGTGTCTGAACCAGCGCAATTCAGAGGTGGCGGCCATGGACAAGCGAGTTAATGAGCTGCGGGACCGGCTGTGGAAGAAGAAGGCGGCGCTGCAGCACAAGGAGAGCCTCCCGGTAGGTGGCCGCCGGCCGCCCCGCGGGTCACGTGCGCCGCGCCCGGGTGGCCTTTGGGCAGAGGGCCTCCTGCTCGGGACAGAGCGAGGGCCGCCGCTCTGGCCGGGGCGGGGATTGGTCTGCGGCGTCTCCTATACCCGGGGGGCGAGACCCTGAAACTAATGAGCAAGTGTCACGGCCTCTTCTGGCTGGGATGCCGTCGGACTTGTCACGCTCCCGTGCCTCTCCCTAAGGTTTCATCTGATGGGAACCTGCCCCCGCAAGGGCTGCCGGCGCCCAGTCGCGTGGCCGCGGTGGGCCCCTACATCCAGTCGTCCACGATGCCCCGCGTCCCTTCGAGGCCCGAACTTGTGGTGAAGCCCGCTCTGCCGGATGGCTCCTTGGCCACGCAGGCTCTGGAAGGGCCGCTCAAAGTACACACACTGCCCAACATGCGATCTGGGGCCACCTCCCAGACTAAAGGTAAAACGGGTCACTTCCAGCCCCTTGCACAGTGTATTCTCCCCGTCCTCACCGTCATTACCCCCAGGTTGGGATTTTAAAAAAATGTATTTCTCTCCCTCGTTCATGTTTAAATCCTGAGAATCTCCTTGTGGTTTTTGCTAGCGCTGTGATACGTTTCTTAACCCTAAATAATGCAGTTCTGTTTGGGAAATGAGATGAAACATGATATTTCTGCAATGAAGGTAGTTTTGAATTCCTTCTTGTTAATGAGGACATTTTTATCTGATGTTAATAACTCGACCCCTTTTCCTTTTGTGTGAAAACACCGCGTACGTGGTAGTGGTGCCATCTTTACAGAAGGTGAGCCGGTGAGTGCATTCTACTGATGGGTGGTGCTCGCTGTGCGTACGTGCTTACGCAGGAGACTTTGCTTGCTAGCACTTTGTAGAATGAAGGTGAACCTTCTGGAAGCTCACAGTGACCATAACAGAAGCGCCTTGTGTTAGTGGTCTTGGCACTGTGTAGTCCTCGGTGTGTGGGGAGGTGCGAGCCAGAGTTTCGGGACAGGAGTCGTAGATGAAGGGAGGCTTGTAGGAGAAGCGGGACGAAAACGTCCTCTTTCAGACCCCTGCAAGAAGAAATAGCAGCCAGTCGCTGTCACATGCAGAAGATGGCTAGCTTTACAGTTGTGATTATTTTGTCGTAATTACCAGTGTGAAGCGATAGAGCCACCGGGTCTGGATTTCATTGCAGGAAGAACTGCTTCTGTTTTGTTCCTGTTAGGACAGAGCTAGGGCTTTGACGCTTCCCTATCTGTGTAGAGAAAACCTGCGCAGAGCGCGCCCACCTGGGGGACTGGTCGGCGTCCACATTTCTGCCTTTTTGTTGTGTGTGCGTCACTGGGGCGTAAGATACGCCCTGAAGCCCTTGGTCTGCGGAGCTGGAAGTTTTTTTCTGATGATGACGGTGCTGGTTTTGTACCAGTAAGAAGCAGGGTGTCTTCCCTGGTTCGAGCAGATTTTCTGTTTACTACAATTAATCTTAAATTTGTTTCAGTAAGTTTAAATTAGAAATCTAAAGTCTAATATTTTCTAAATAAGTTTAACGGGGGAAAAAAAAGAAATCTCTTTAATGTGCCGGGTTACCGTGTTTGTTTTTCTGCATTCTAGGCTCTAAAATCCATCCACTCGGCCCCAACTGGAGCCCCCCAAGTGCAGACATTTCTGCGAGCCAAGCCTCTGTGCCTGTGAGCTCGGGGGTTGCCCCGGACCAAGGTGGGGTTCTGTTCTGGCATCTGAGAGGCGCCCTGCACTCTTTCTTTTCTTCTTTTTTTTTTTTTTAAGATTGATTTATTAGAGAGAGAGTGTATGAGCGGGAGGGGCAGAGGCAGAGGGAGAGAGAGAATCTCAAGCAGACTCCCTGCTGAGCCCCATGTGGGGCTCGATTGCACAACCATGAGATCATGACCTGAGCCAAAACCAAGGGTCGGACGCTCAACCATCTGTGTCACCCAGGTGTCCCCTCAGTCGTCTTTAGTTTGTTCTCTAGTGTGGTAAACCTGGGGAACAGTGTTCATTTCCAGAACACCTTCGTTTAGCTGCGGAGTTAAAGTTCTCGCATTGTAGCATCCGGGCTATTCTCCAGTGAGCTTAATTAAAAATAGGGAAGCATGTCTCGGGTGCAGGGTTTCAAAGCGATTGAGGAGAGAGAACCTTCTGTGTGAAAAAAGAAGTCTTACTATGAATGGCTTGAATGTCCATGTGCTTTTTTTCTGTCTTCAGCTGATGATGGAGAGGTTCCTCTGAGGGAGAAGGAGAAGAAAGTGCGCCCCTTTTCGATGTTTGACACGGTGGACCAGTCTGCCGCCCCGTCCCCCTTTGGGGCTCTGAGGAAAAACCAGAGCAGTGAGGACATCTTGCGGGATGCGCAGGTGTGAAGAATGGCTCAGTTTAACATTCAGTGGTAATTCTGTGTCCTCCTTAGAAGAGAGAGGCTGTTGTGTTGAGGGAGAGCAGGGAAAACCAAAGTATTTCTGGAAGATTAGAAAACAATTCTGTCATTTTGAATTCTGCAGCTTGAGCGTATTTGTGGTCTCACACCGTATGGGAGAAAGGCTGCCATACTTGCTGTTGGCTCCCATTTTGTGTGATTCTCTGGGAACTAGGAGTGCGCTGAAGCACGTCGTATTTGTGCTACCCAGCGACCTTGTGTCTTCAGAATCTGGAGCCGAGGTTGTGTCAGTAACAATTTGGTGGTGAATCTTCTGTGACCGTTAGGATCCCAGCCTTTGAGCAGTGGGTGATGGCGGCCTGCTCCCCGTTAGGTGTTTTGACCACAGTGATGTGATGTTCTCATGAGCGAGGATGATTTTGGGTTATTGGGGCCGTCTGTGAATATGTGAAGTGGCAGTTCAAGTCCCCGAGCGGGCACCCCTGGCTCCCGCATGGGAGCTGGCGACAGGGAAGAGGCCTCTGGGGCGGGAATCATAGTGCGTTCCTCAGGTTCCTTATCAAATGTAGTTCAGGGCAGAGACCTACACATTTTTAATGACTTGAAAATGTAGAGCTGATGTTCTCAGTGTACACTTATGTTTGCAGAATTCGGTTATCTAGAACATGCTGTGTACCCATTTGGACAGTGTTTTAACTGCTTTGTATGTGTGTGTGTTTCAGGCCGCAAATAAAAATGTGGCTAAAGTACCACCTCCTGTTCCATCAAAACCAAAACAGATTAATTTGCCTTATTTTGGGCAAACAAATCAGTCAGCATCAGACATGAAGCTGGATGGAAACCCTCAGCAGTTGTCAGCAGCTCTTGCGTCCGTGGGAAACAAACCAAAAACGGGGCAGCAGCAGAGGGTCGTGGTGGCCCCCGGTGCACCCTCGGCTGGCCAGGGCCAGGCCTTGTCTCCAGCTGGGAAGCAAGAGAGCCCCCCTGCCGCCGCCGTCCGGCCCTTCACTCCTCAGCCTTCCAAAGACGCCCCTCTCCCGCCCTTCCGAAAACCCCAGACCGTGGCAGCAAGCTCCATATACTCCATGTACACACAGCATCAGGCTCCTGGAAAAAACTTGCAGCAGGCCGTGCAGAGTGCGCTGACCAAGACGCATTCCAGAGGGCCGCACTTCTCAACCGGTGAGCTTCTGGGTCTCGTTTCCACTGGCACTCGAGGCGGCCAAGTCCTGCGCCAGAACGGTCACCTGTCGGCGAACAGCAAAGTTGATGGATGCTTTTGTTCTAAGGCTTCTTCTTACCTGGGGGCTGAAACAGGTTTCTGCTCAATGCCAAGTAGTAGTAAGTGAACGCCCTAGATGGAGAAAACCTGCGGCGCAGACACAGCCTTCTGCACCGTGGCGGCCGCGTGCCTTTGGTCCCCGCTCCCCGGGAGCTCCTCGTGAGTGAGGTGCACACGGTCCTCACCGCAGGGTTCGGTTCACCGGGTGCTCCTGGTGGTGGACGACGGGACAGCTGCCCTGAGTGTCTGTAAAGCTCACGCTCTTGACTGTATTTTAAGGTGTTCTGATGAGGACACAGCTGCTAGTTAGGTATAAAAACCTAGAAAGACTTACAGTCTGGTAACCTTTTGGGTTCTTTCTAAGAGTCATTCGTTTCTAAAACTAGAATCAAGTTCATCCCGTTTTAATTGAATAAGGTTGCTTTTCTGGTCATGAAATCAGCATGTAATTGTGCCCTGAAATGTCCCGCAAGTAACCAGACAACAAAGAATTTACACACGTGCTGCGGCTGAGTGTTGGCTTCAGTGAGGACTGCCTGACGCAGTAATTTGTGAATTGGGTAGTTTTGATAGAATCAGAATGATAAGGGGAATAGTTTTGGTAAGTACAAGTGGTTCTTAATAATGTTGTAAGCCAAGTACGATTTCCCCCAGTGATTTAGTTTTGAGACGAGGAAAGAGAGGGCGGTGCATGTTTAGTTTTAATCTAGATGCAGGAAAGATTGCCCGTTTCCATTGCTTTTTTACATTTTCGTATTTTGACATTTTAAGTTTGTATGCTACAGCCGGTGATTTCTTATAGTTACAATGGCAGCGTTTTTCTGCACGGTACATAAAATAATGGTGCACGTTCCCATCAGTGAGAGTTTTCATTCTGTGATAAGTTTACTGTGCGGAGATGGAAGCCTTGCTTTGTCCTTTGTTGTTTTTAAAAATCAGTCGTGTTGCAGGGTGCTGTTTAATAACTGAAGTTAAAGGAGGCTTTAATTACTGTGCCCTGTGTCTATCACTTGCTGGTTTGATTTAATCCTGATCAGGGCTTTGTTTCCGTTTCCAATCAGTATACGGCAAGCCCGTGATTGCGGCCGCCCAGAGCCAGCAGCAGCACCCGGAGAACGTGTATTCCAGCGGCCAGAGCAAGCCCAGCAGTCCCGAGCCCGACGTGGAGCCCGTGTCCTCAGGCCAGGAGAGCCACGAGAACGAACGAATTCCTCGGCCACTCAGCCCGACCAAACTGCTGCCCTTCTTGTCCAACCCCTACCGAAACCAGAGCGACGCCGACCTGGAAGCCTTGCGGAAGAAACTGTCCAACGCGCCACGGCCGCTCAAGAAACGGAGCTCGATCACGGAGCCAGAGGGTCCGAATGGGCCAAATATCCAGAAACTTCTGTACCAGAGGACTACCATCGCTGCCATGGAGACCATCTCCGTCCCTTCGTATCCGTCCAAGCCGACGTCAGTGGCGGCCGACTCCGAAAGCCCCATAGAAATCCAGAATCCGTATTTACACGTGGAGCCAGAGAAGGAGGCGGTCTCTCTGGTTCCTGAGCCAGTGTCCCCAGAGGATGTGGGGAGCCCCAGTTCCGAGAGCAGTGACACGCCAGCCCTCTCCCCCAGCCTCGATTATGTGCCCGAAGGAGTCCCAGACAGCAGCCCAGATTTCCAGAACAGTGTGGAAGAACCAAGTGCAGAGGCTCCCCATCTGCTGGAAGTGTACCTGGAGGAGTACCCCCCATACCCGCCCCCGCCGTACCCATCTGGGGAGCCAGAAGGGCCGGGAGAAGACTCGGGCAGCATGCGTCCACCCGAAATCACAGGGCAGGTGTCCCTGCCTCCTGTAAGTAACGTGGTGTCTCGTGGTCCTTTCAGGAGCCCCCTTCCCCCCCTGAACTTGTCAAAGACTTCCAGGTGGTTGACTCTCAAGACCCAGGGAAATGCGCACATTCTCAGGGCCATTTGCAAAAGATGGTCTGTGTGTGAATTGCCCGTGGTCGCCGACATGTCTACAGTTTCCCTTTTATTTTATGGCCCCCTTAGCGCTTGGTAGATCTCAGATGTATTAGAAGAATTTGGTAGATTCGGGATAAAGAACATCTTTATTATTTAGGAAGAACCCTTCTCTTTGTGAAGAGGCAGAGTTGGGTTCTTACGATACAAAGCACACGCCACTGAGGGCGGTCCTTGCTGGGGAGGCTGGCAAAGCTGGGAAGGGGAAGACCTGGCTCGGAAACTCCCTCACTCGACCAGCTCTGTGAAATCAGGCAGACGGTGCCCTTTTCTCTCCGGTGACGTCACTCTTTCACATTCTTCTTCCCCCCACAGTGACGTGTATCTTTAATGAACTGTTTTCAGGGGATCCTCAAACTTCCAACGTTGATAAACTTGGGAGGGTTTGGGACCGATGGGGACAGGATGAGCCTGTTCCTCTCCTCCCATGCAGGGGACCCCTGAGGTGCCCTTGAGCCCCGGCTGCCCTTCCTCCCAGGCTGTGCGTGTGTTGACTTGGGCACACGTGCCTTGTGATTGTTACGCCTTTGTTTGCGAGTCTGTCGTGTCCCTTTGAAGTCAGAGAGGATCAAAATCCCAGGGTGTCCTTAAGTAAAGTTGACCTTTTCAGGTGTAATTGGTGTCACGGTGTTTCTGTAGGATGCCAAACCATGAATTTTATTTTTTTTTATTTTTTTAAAGATTTTATTTATTTATTCATGAGAGACAGAGAGAGAGAGAG